AAACCACAATGAGATACCATCTCACACCAGTTAGCATGGCGATCATTAAAAAGTCAGGAAACAGGTGCTGGAGAGGATGTGGAGAAATAGGAACACTTTTACACTGTTGGTGGGATTGTAAACTAGTTCAACCATTATGGTAAACAGTATGGAGATTCCTCAAGGATCTAGAACTAGAAGTACCATATGACCCAGCATCCCATTACTGGGTGTATACCCAAAGGATTTGCAATTCTTCGTATCTCTGGATTTGCCGCCCTGTCCCTCCAAGTCACTTGGTTTCACTTTGGACAGCTTTAATTATTCTCTTCTCTGTTCTCTGTTTCTGCCTCCTTAGAAGCTATTTAAAACCACTCGTTTTCATTCTAAACTCCGGAGCCACACCAAACAAGTGTAACTGTCCCCTGGTGAGATTTGCATTGTATGTGACAAATCATTTAACTTTTTTCTGGTAGGGTTTCAGTTTTGTCGGAAGTCTGCAGTTTGCTCTTAAGGATGTGATAAGAATGTAGCAACACATTTGTATCTTTGAATTTTGAATAGGAACCAAATTTTAAAATTTAGTTTAGTTTAGTTTAGTTTTGTTTGAGACAGAGTCTCACTGTGTCACCCAGGCTGGAGTGCAGTGATACCATGTTGGCTAACTGCAACCTCTGCCTCCTGTGCTCAGGTGATCCTCCCCCCGAACCTCCTGAGTAGCAGCTGGGGCTACAGGCAGGTGTTTTTTAAAAATGGAATTCTTAATACATTAAAAAAATGAAATCCCTTTAAAAAAGCACTAGAGGAAATTCTGTGTTTAAAGATTTACTTATTTGGCAATGCAAACAGCTGTTTATTTCCTAACATAACTTTTGCAAATCTGAATTTTTATAAAAAGATTTTTAAATTAAAAATTTTAAATTATACTAAGTTTTACTTTTTAAGTAATTTTGAGTAGGTAATATTTTTATAAAGACATTTGTATGGTTCGAAGATAAGAAAATATATGAAAGGTGTTCAAGAAGAGTTTTGCCCCCAATTCTGTCCACTGTGTACCCAGTCCTCCCCACTTCTACATACATATTTCAGATAGGTATTTCTCGAAAGAAAGAACTTATGCTGTGAAACTTATATTTCTACTTAGGTCTCATTTTAAGTGATTCTGTAAAATGGCTGGGAGATACTGGTGAAATTCTAGAATGGAAATAACTTTGTGAGATTTTGAGCTGAGTACTTGTAAATAGTAGAAATGGACTTACTAATAAATAAAAGAACTTTATTTTATAACTTTTTTCTGATTACATAGTAATGTATGTTCATTATGAAATATTTGGGAAATACAAAAACACACAAAGAAAAAAGGATATTTATTTATAATTCCATTTTGCTATGTATTTTCCCATTATTCACTCTCCGTTTGTCCCAGGTTTTCCCCACGCTGTTTCAATGAGTGTATCCTCCATGTCCCCTCAATCATGCATCCAGTAAACTCCGTCATTACTACCATCTGTACTTTCACTCACGGTTCAGTTCCAAGCATGTCCCTCTCTGACATCCACCTCACATCATTCCATCTTGCTTCTTCTGGGACCTTCCCTTCAAGGATCTTCAGTGCCACCGGGGCTTCCAGTTAGGTTGATTGACCCTATCTATCGTCTTCCCGATATCAGCACCACCCCCCACTCACTCTTCACGCAGCTTAGAGTCCACATGTCTTTGTTAAAGTCTCCTGTATGCACCAGCACCCTTGCCTTTCCCTCAGTTCCACTGAGGTGGCAGAATATCCCAACTCTGGCTAATCGCATAAATCCGTGTCCTCCAAATTTGTACTGGAATTCCAGGATGTGGCTGGGGTAAAAACCTTCCATGTTGCAGACAGGTCTTGTTTCAAACCAATGACCACAAACCTCCAATGAGCTTTCAGGAGTTTCGGCAATGCTGTGACATTTCCCTGCTTATATCACCCTTTTGCACTCTCGGTCTGTTTTACTGATCATAGAATTCTCTATGATCTCAACCTAAAGGGTTAGAGATATTTCCCGAGAAGCCCCACCTTTTCCCTTGATAACCCACTATGAGAACTGTCATTTGTGAATTTAAGAAGAAACACTTGCTTCTTGACTTTTAAAACACCAAAAACAACATTAAAAAATTGAAGGATGAGGCTGGGGCGCGGTGGCTCATGCCTGTAATCCCAGCACTTTGGGAGGCTGAGGCGGGCGGATCACTTGAGGTCAGGAGTTCAAGACTAGTCTGGTCAACTTGGTGAAACCTGTCTCTACTAAAAAAAATTAGCTGGGCATGGTGGCACGCACCTGTGATGTTAGCTACACGGGAGGCTGGGGCATGAGAATTACTTGACTCTGGGAGGTGGAGGTTGCAGTGAGCCAATATCATGCCACTGCACTCCAGGCTGGGTGACAGAGCGAGACTTTATCTCAAAACAAAAACAAAAACAAAACCTGAGGGATGAGCCAGAAACTGGGAAATGATATCTGCCATGTTGTATAACTGATAAAGGAGATGTGCATACGTATACTATATATATAATCTACCAATCCATAACATATTAAACAATCCAATCTAGATGGGTAAACATATAAACTAGTTCAAAGATGAGCAAAAAATATGAACCAGTAATTAAAAGGAAATACCAATGAGCAATAAACATCTGAAAACATAACCATTCTCTTTGGTCATCAGAGAATTTGAAAAATACAGC